ACTGACACATGTTAAAAAGGGACCCCTGCATTCTCTCCCAAAAACAGATCCCCGCATTAGTACGTAAAGCTGTAAACATTTTCATTTGTGGTGGAAATTTACTGATAGGCCTGGCATGAATTTTTAAGCAATAAAATGATGGAAGCAAATGTGCATGACAGTATGTATGTATGAGAATATGGATATCCTAGTGTATATGTATAGGAGTGTATGGCTAACTTTTCTTCACTATAATGCTTTTCGCTATTTTAATTGAGAAGTGGCTGCTTACTTTGTGCAAAATTTCTAAAGTAGATATTACTGTCTACTGATACTGAAATCAAGCAAAAAAGTAGCTACCTAAGGGGCTAACCGGTCTCCCATTATTCTCTATTGGAGCTGCTACATAACATCAGTCTCTGCAAAGAAGTTTAAAAAGTGAACTGTCTATAAACTCTGGAGTGGGATTAGGAGGCATCCATCTTCCCCCTGTATAGCCAAAAATCCTGGCCCTGGCTCAGTCTGTAATATATCTGTAATAGTTACTGGCTACCTTGTAGGGCTATGGAAAATAAAGTCTTTAACCCCTTAAGGACCAAACTTCTGGAATAAAAGGGAATCATGACATGTCACACATGGCATGTGTCCTCAAGGGGTTAAAGAAACACTCCAACCATAAAACTATCGCAGCTCACGTTTTTTACTTCGATAATCAGTTTTTGAATGATTTTCACTCTTTACCACTAACCAAACCTACCATTATGAATGCAGGAGAGCTTGAAGCTGCTAAGCAGGAGCTCAATTTAGCTTTCCTGAACTAATCCCCATGGGACCAAAATTTGGGATACTGTCCTGAGGTTTCGGTTTTCAGAATGTTGTCCTCTGTGGGCCAGCTAGCACTATGCCAAGCAACACCAGGCTGTATTGCACCTTTTTTAGAAGCTTTCTCTCCCTTTTTGGGGTGGACCCACCTCCTCTGAGCATCACAAGTTAAACAGCTAAGTTGGCACAAACTTTTAGTCCTGCTCTCTCCCTATCCTGGTTCTATATTTAACCAATACTGGGAAGTATGTAGCTTACCCCTTACCTCCCCTCCCCCACCCCTTTAAAAAAAAAAAAATACAAAAAAAATCACGTTATAGAAACTATACATATGGGATTATAGTCCATTAGTATATGGATCACTATTATGTATCTTACTCTCTGCTAAGAAAGTAGCAGTCATTTTAGAAGCTATGTTTGTACTCCTTCTGTCTTAGATAACATAACCTAAAGTTCAGAACCCGATCCGCCCCCTTGACTGAGATCATCAGATTTGATGATCTCAACAAATCCAGTGATTTCCCATAGGAAAAGCATTGGGAGGCGGTTGTGCATGCACAACAAATCACAGCACTGGCCAGTCAGCATCTCTTCGTAGAGATGTTAAAAACTAAATTCAATATATAAAAGACAGAAATAATATAGTAAATCCAATCTGGCGTGTCGTTTTACAATGAGTGTTTACATAATGCAGTTGTTTTGGTACCTGTGTCTGGAAGGTGGCGTAGCAGTGGGTGAGAAATATACTCCCGGCAGCAATTTCTAGCACCTGGCGTTCTGTTAGGCAGCTGCTCGATTTTCCAAGAAAGCATTGCTTTTTAACAATCTTCATAGCAAGTGGTTTCTTGGAAATCTGGTCGGATGCCAAAATGACTTGGAGAAAAAAGTATTTTTGTATAAATGAGGCATGAGATGCTCTTGCCCTACAGAGACTTAAAATACTATAACTATATATCTGTCTAATCTAATCATATTATCTCAGTACTTCTTTTGTACATTCATGTCCTGGCCTCCTTAAGATTATTAGTTCATGAGCAGCAATATTAATTGCATCTAACATCATAAATGATATGTTGGGAGAGGGACAGAGGAAAAGGATGTAGAGTGATTCTCTCTCTCCCCACCTCTTCTCCCTGAATATCCCTAAAGGCAGAGGGGCTGAATTAGGAATACCTGCCACAAACAGCTGCTGTCTGCCAATGTAACTCCAACTAATTATGGGGTACTGGGGAATGTATGTCCCAAAATTATTGGAAACATACCTCCTAACAGTCATGGCTTCAGTGAGACCGTCACAAAGTTGGGTTGCCTTCAGTGGTGGGTGCCAAACGTATTAATCCCCCCCCCCCCTTTTTTTAAAATTTATTTATTTGTTTTTTATTGTTTTTTTAAAGGTGGATTGGCTTGATCATCTTGATGTTCGCAGGCAGGGAGGTGGATTGGCCATGGTGAGACCAGCATGGCTAGGGTTGATGCTAAGTAATTTTTGCCTTTCAATGCCTTATGGAAAAGGGGAGCCTAAACTGGACGGGGAACACTATAGAGTTAGGAATACATGTTTGACGCAAAGCTTTCTTATTGGGATTTTCAAGACGCTGGATGTCCACAAGCTAAGTTATACTCTGTGACAGGCCAGAAAGCTCTTCTCCCTGAATATCCTCCCTGACAGCCAGTAGATGGAGTCTTAAGCATGCATTGTAAACATTGCAGTGTCTTTGAAACTGCAGTGTTTTTCATTTACAGGGTTAAGGTGACAGGGACTCGGTACCCAGACCATTTCATGAGATTAAGTGGTTTGGGTGTCTATAGTGTCCCTTAAAATGGAAAATATAGTCACCAAAACAACTGTAGCTTAAATGGACCCTATAGGCACCCAGACCACTTCAGCTATTTAAGTGATCTGGGTAGACATACAGTGTCCAAATTTTTTATTTTTTCCCCATAGGAAATCATTGATCCAATGCTTTCCTATGGGGAGATCTAATGCGCGCGTGTCATTTGCATTAGCGCCTGTTTGTCGCGAGATGGAGAAGGAGCCACGACCTAGTGCCGAGGGACATCAGCGCAGGGATCAAGTGATTTAAATAAAGGGTTTTTAACCCCTTATTAACTGCGGTTGGGGGATTCGAGGCAGGGAGGAGGCAGAGGGAGCTATAGTGACAGGAATACAGCTTTGTAATCCTGGCACTTATTGTATCCCTTTAATGAAGCAGTTTTGGTGTACAGATTATGCCTCTACGGTCTCACTGCTCCATTATCCGCAATTTAGGAGTTAAATCCCTTTGTTTATGCAGTCCTAGTCACACCTCCCTGCAAGTAACTTGCACAGCCTTACTAAACACTCCCTGTAACGAGAAATATATTGTTTACACGAACTTGAAACCATTGATTGAATGAAAAAACTTAACCATTTTTGTTTGTAGGCTGTGTGAGTCAGAGCCAAGGAAGGTGAAGCTAGGGCTACATGGCAAAAATAAGTTATTTACTTCCTAAATGGCAGAGAATTGAGTGCTTAAATTTGGGACTAAGGAAATGGTTTGTGTAGGTTTTGAGAGAGATTACATTAGAGTAAGGGGTGGACTGGAAAGTTTATTTGCAAAGTACTCCTCCTCCTGTGTGTTCTGTAGTTCTGTCAGCGTCCGGTTTGTTTGATAGATGAGATGCAGGAGCTATCATACAATGTGCATCGCTCAATGCTGTCCTGCGAGACATTTCCTGTGTGAGAGGCTGTTAGTGAGCAGGTGGGAGGTGATCCCTTCCTGTACAGTCTCTGAGACAGCACAGAGTTTTACACCCTCCATAACTGTTCCTGCAGCTCTGCTATCAAGCATAGGAGGCTGATTGGAGTACAGAGGACATTGGCCAGGGCTCCTGGTACTTATCTCTCCCCATCAACCCACCTGAGCTCCAAAAAAGTCATTATAAGTGCTGAAAACAGGACCTGTCCACAGCTAAGCTGCTGCCTACTCTGCCTAATAGGAAATCTGGCCCTACCTTGATGCCTTGGGAGGGAATCAACAGAGAAATACTATTCTCAGCACTCCAAAGACCATAACCACAACAACATGCCGGAGTGCCCCAGCGAGCCAATGTAAGTAATCAGACCGTTTGCTAACAGTTTAACATGGGATCCGCTAGGTGAAATTGCCTGTCTCTAAAACAACCCAGAGCTAAGCCCAGCAGATGCCTGTCAACTGCTGTGTTAATTTCAGGGGCAAATTTCAATTTAGTTTTAGTAATAGTCTTTTGATTAAAAAGCCATTTTAGTTTTATTCGTATTTTAGTTATCTGAATTATTTTAGACAGAATCTCCAGCAGTCTCTTTGTGTTTGTCCCCCAGCTCCTCTGGGTGTCTCTCTCCCAAGCATTGGTCTGTCTCTTTGGCCCCTTCCCCAGCTACTCTGTGTCACTTTGTGTCCTCCCAGCACCTCTTTGTGTCTCCTCCCCCCCCACCCCCCAGCACCTTGTCTCTTTCTCCCCCAGCCTCTCTATGTCGCTTTGTGTCCCCCAAGCCCGTCCGTGCCTCTCATCTTCCCCACGTGTCTCATTCCCCCAGCACCTTCGGGGTTTCAATCCCCCAGTCCCCCATGTGTTTCAATTCCCCAGCCCCCATGTGTCTTATTTCCTCTCCTCCCTCCCCCATTTGTTTTACCTGCCAGTGTTAATTTTGACAGCAAAATTTCTATTTAGTTTTAGTCATAGTCTTTTGACTATAAAGCCATTTTAATTTTAGTCATCTGAATTGTTTTTGTTTTGATGACTAAGTCTCAAAAATTGTAGTCGACTAAAATTAACCCTGGTCCACTGTAGCTATCATCAATTAACCCTCAATATTTCTTAACTCCCATTCAGCTTACAGATCAGTCAGGCACCATAACTCATGCTGTGGAGAGTGCAGAGCTATATCATTACAACAAAAAATGTTGTGTGTTGTAGTTCACTTGTCAGCTTTCTGATGTGGCAATCTCACATTTGAACTACACCTAGCAAAATCCTCTGTTGACGAACTCTGCGAATAATACACATATTTATATGACAAAGATAAGCATTGCTCCCCACTATAGCCTGTCTGAGTGAGTAGGGGGAATTACAGCTGGGGTTTTAAGACACTATGTGCAGGAGAAAGGACAGGGAACCATTTTACAAGAAAACACATGCTGCAAAAACGCAAAGATGCCAAGATGCATGGAGTGTCCCTTTAGAAGAACACTTTAAGCACCATAACCACTACAGAGTTTTGTAGTGGTTATGGTGCTAAGAGTGCCCGGGTCCTCCCCACTGTAAATAGTCAAACCATTTTAGAACGGTTTTGTCTTGTTACGTGGGGTCCGCTGGGCACCGCTCCCCATCTCCACTACTTCAGACAGAGCTGAAGAATCCTGTGTAGGAGCGTCTATTAGATCTACTGGGCTAAGCCCTGCCTACTCTGCCAGACTTCCAGCTCTCTGTCTGAAGTAGTGGAGATGGGGAGTGGTGCCCAGCGGACCCCACATAAGAAGACAAAACCATTCTAAAATGGTGGTTATGGTACTTAAAGTATTCCTTTAAGAAAAAGAGTATCATTAGATGATATGGCCTGTGACAAGGAACTACAGACAGTAGTAGCAGTTGAAGTAGAATGAAAATAAATATGTGACAGCTGCCATTTTCAACCAATGAATCCTGATTAAACCTCATATGAGTTGGTGTGATAATGCAGAAGTATGAACTTCCTCTTCATCAGACCAACTCTGACCAGAAGGATTAGTAAGTGTCAAACCATTTGTAGTCAGTTTGACAAATTACCAGCGAACACCTCCTGAGGAATCCTAGCATGGTATTCACTGCAGTGCAATATAGTGGTTATGGTGCCCACATTGTTCCTTTTAAATAGCCATTAAACAACAAGTGCTGATGTTTGCCGCTTTTATAAATCCCCAAAAGTGATATGTTTAAGATTTTTCTAATTAAATTATGTGTTTTGTTGAGCTAACAGTTGGTTTCAGGATTAAGGCCAAAATAATGGAGTTGATTGTTTTGACCTCAAGTGTTCACTGTAATTTTGACTAATAATCTGTGCTCATTGCATTATTATCCTTTACTTACAAAGTGCAAACACATTGTGCAGCGCTGTCCATGGTACTGATAAAAGTAAAAAGACAGAGGTACAATACATCTAAGAAACAATACAGAATTTAACAAGCAAATACATCGAAGGTAATGCTGCATAAAGCTTCCCTATCATAGTGTACCTGCATATGGTGGCTTAAAAATGAAGTGATTTTGTAAAAAAAAAAATCTAATTGTGAAACTGCCCACCCTTGAAAAGTGGATGGATTACTTGCGCACTATCCCAAATCCCCATGCACATTTAAATAACTGGAGTTTTTTTTATCACTCCAATAGCCATTTAGGTGTAAGCCCACCTGCCACATCAAGGCATAACCTCTTAGGTGAGTCTTACACCAAAAGTTCACCTTGCTGTCTTGAGCTGTAAGATAAAGTCTCTAATGAGACAAAGAGGGGTGTTTTTCTAAACCCCTCCACACTTAATATAGAACACATGGGGTGGGTAATATGAAATTCTCAACAACAAAAAAAAGCATTTAAAATTTAAAGATTTGTTAAATATACTATATGAGACTCCAAATATTAATTTTCATGTCGAAATAAGTTCCCAATGCTGTGCGTCATTTGGGGCGATATCACACACCTTGCCGTAGCTGCCTTTTCCATGCTCTTTGTGAAAGGCAAATCTTTCCAGAGTGATTGAAGTGGTCAATGAGGGTCCCGGATTGTCAAGGCAGACGCTGGTTCCTTCTGGCAGAGTGAAAAGAGACCACATGTAACTATTATATCAGAAGATATTTTAAATATTCCTTTCTGGGCCCGTATCACGAGAATTAAAACAATAACTACGTTTAAAAATTGCAGCTTTTTTACAGGTTCTTTTAAGTAATCCAGATAAGAGCTTACCAAAACTCAACCAACTTACTGGGATTTTCTAGCATTTATATTTCAATATAACCACCAATAAACATTTTATTTTTGAAAACGTAATGGAGGTAGCAGTACTTTGGTCTCTATCAGTATAATAAACAGAAGGAAGTTAGTTCATGTAAATGCTTCAGATAGATTTAAAGTTAGTCTAATTGTGCATTATACCCCCTGTCTTCTTTCTAATAGGAATGAAACCCCCTTCCCAATGTCGGTTGTACGGTTTATTAACTCTGCATCTCTTCTTTCTCTGCCCTGACTCTTCTTCGTTGCTCCCGTCCTGCGCTGTCTTCTCCCGGTGCCTCTTTCGGTCTTCGATCTTCACACTTGATGTTTGAGTGAATGTAAGGTTTTCCATGTCGATTTGTATCCAATATCCAGCAATGCAAAAATCACTTCTTTATTGCTTAACAGCTTCAAAGAGAAATGTCAGTTACCACTTGCACTGATCAAGTTATGGAATTCTGTGATGTCACAGCTACTAGGTCAACCAGATTCAAAAAATGCCCTGTGCTATATAAACTTAAATATGTATCAAGATTTTAAATCCCTATAAATGATTATTGGTTTTGGGGATATTATTAATGATGGTTTGGGGAATATTACTGATTATTGGTTTTGAATATATTGATAATAGTTATTGGTTTTAGTGGTTTTATTAATGATTATTGGTTTTTGAAAGTGTGCAGAATGTGTTACTCTACAATGTTAACTGGTTAAATAGTTTCTTATGACCCTATTTGCACAGGGGATCCTATTCTCCTATATATTCACTGCAGTATGACCTCTGTGCTTATACTGTAGAAATAACTTCAATAAGGAGGAAGGCATGAAAAGTGATACCACTTCTCCAATATTTCATCAACCATTAGACCAAGAATAAAAAAGTAATTGAAATGTCACTTACAGCAGCCAGGACTTAGTGGCGTGTGCCAAAGTTTGGATAATATAAAGCCAATACACGCAGAGAAAATGTTCGCATTCTGAATACAGACCAAGTACCAGTGGATCCTCAGTTTGTAACATCCAGTTTTATGGAATACAATCCAACATAAAAATGATTTGCCAAAGAAAATTGAAATATTCCAAAAAAGTGCACCTCACTCTCACATGGCCGGGGGGGACCGGAGGAGGAGGATCTGCTGCGGGGGTGCTCCCTGGGAGTCCCCCCCCCCCCCGCGATAGCCGACGTGGGTTCGCCGGCGACCGGGTAAGTAATGAAAGACCGGAGGGCGTACAATTACGCCCGGCGGCGTTTAGAGCCGCCTAAAATGGGGCGTAATTGTACGCCCTCCGGTCTTAAGGGGTTTAACGATAAAGTAAAGAGGTAACAGGAAAGGAAGATACATTCTAGACATATTTTGCCTCTCAGACATGCTTCCTTAACCGCAACAGTCACCCCAAAGAAAGTGTTTTGTTTTCTATAAGAAAGGACACTAGTTATTAATGCCCTTCCTGCCCATCTCTATCTGTCCTCTGTATAACACTTTTTTCAAAGTCTGCCATAGAAAGCTGAACTATTGAATCACTTTGTATATGACGTTGTTAGTTTGTTTGACCAAACAACTCAAAATACACAGTTTGGAAAAGCATGGGTTGCCTACTTTTAGAAATGATATGCAATTATGAGATTAACTTTCTTTCCTGGGCTACCACACTGTCTTCAAAAGTGACATTGTCCAAGAAAATCACTTTGTCAAATTTCCCAATTGAGACCAGCATCTAATATATTTGGCCCTGTGTCCTTCCCCATAAAACCTAGAAAATCAATACATAGGGGGAACTGTTGTGAAACAATGCTTAGTAAAAATATCGAGGCTTTATTACACTAACTCATATCAGGATTATGAAATATCCTGTAAAAAATTAAATTGGTGTGTGTGTGTGTGTGTGTGTGTGTGTGTGACAAAAACACAAGTAAAAGTATAACCACTAAATGGTTCCTGAATTTGTAATAAAGTGGCTAGACCAAACCTCTCAAGATACACCATTTGGAATACTTTGGGTTGGCTATTTTTGAAAATGGTATGCTGTAATGGTGGACATGTTATTACCCAGGCTGCCATACTGTCTCAAATGGGGGCACAGCTGACACGCTGTTTGAGGACAACATGCCAAGTCAGCTTGTTAACTTGTAACTTTTGCCTTAAAGCTCTGCCACCTGGTGCCGATCACAAATGGACTGGGCCTTATGAGAGGGATGTGACCTTACCTGGGGGGAGGGAAGGGGGCTAACAGAGCAAGGCAACTGCTTATCTATAGAGCACCTGGGCGGTCTGCACCTAACCAGGATTGGCTCTGCCAAAACCCCATAAAACCTGTTCATGGGGGGCACTGTGGTACTTGTGAGACACTAATTTGAGTAGTGAAATGTACTATGATGACAATATCATCAGTGAAAGTGCAGTTATTGCATGAAAAATGTAAAAGACAAATGATATCTAACTTGGACAGGGTTTGTGACTAAGTGGCTACTAAAAAAAGACTAGACAAGTGGTTCTATTTCTCCTGAACAAAATTGTGTTTAATAAGTATGGGTGCACTTTATATAAAATAAGTAAACAAACATATAGCTTAAATTCTAGGTTTTGTTTTGGTTCAGAACTAGTACAATTGCCTCTGTCCTTAAGGTGATTAAATATCAATCTATGTTTTAAATTAGTTTGATATATATATTTTTTTTTACTCTGCCATGCCAATTGCCTTCTGAAAATGCCCAACCAGGGGCTTGAAACAAATCTACCTACATCTACCATGGTCCCCTTCTTGTTTTCCAAACACTGAAACCAGTCCCTGTCAAGGACAATGTGGCCTCACTTTAGGAGAAGTCACTGAGTAAACTCCCAGTGGTTTGTTCATATTAAAGTTAATATGTACTTATCGCTCTTAGTTGACGTGACTCTCTAAATCCTAATGTCTTTCACCGATATACTGGTGGTATAGTGATACAGGCTAATTTGGTGAAATAAAGTATTAATACAATGACATTTGTGCACTTACTGGTAATTTAGGTGTGTAGGTGAGATTATATTCTCTATAAAGTAGTATCATGTCATTTTTTTGCATTGCTGGTACACTTTAAGGTAGGGAAGTGGAATTACGGTTAATAAAAAAAAAAAAAAAACCGTGTTCAGCAGAAAACATGTTTTTGATTTTGTGTCTCTCTCTATATTGTAGGGTGGGATGTCTTCCTGAATTAGTGGGGTTTTTGGGTTATGGGTAGTTGGAACCAGTTCTTTAGACTCGTCATATTAAGGTGCGTACACAAAACAAAATATCTGTAACTTGTGAGTTG